TTAATTTAGCTTTTTATTAATTAACTATTTTTGATCTGGTCATCAAACAACAGTGCATAACGCAATACCATGGTTGAAGTTATTGGTAAATTATTTTCTTCAGTCACTTTTCCACTGCCATAAAGTAGCTCCCCTGTATCTTTTCTATAAATAATTTCATGGTAATTGTTCTGATGGGCTTTCCTCTTTGGTACCCTGACTTCAAGAATTTAAGTGCAGTACTAGATTGGCAGCTAGGTCTTATAGTTTCACTGTTGAAATTGCTAGTTGTAACTGTAAGTTCTGTGCTAATAGTTTCTTCTCTCACACTTCCTGCTTACAGAACATGCTTCCTGCTTTCCTGTCAAATATGATCTTCAAAAATTTAAATGCAATATCAATCATCATCTTCTGTCTTCTTGATTCCTGTTCTTTTATTGTCCTCACTGTTTCTTTCACTCTCAGTAACCCCTTGCATCCTAGTGACTTTGCTTGAATTGAAATGATTAAAAAAAGAGGGCATTAAAAAACACATTGTTCGTTAAAATAGTATTAAAGTGGATAACTGAATAGAATTTCTTATAAAATAATTCTATGATAATTTTTATTCATTGTAACAAATGTATCATTATAATAAGAAAATGTAAGGGTTGCTCTGAAATTAATGTTTCCTATTTTATTATATTGGTTCACAACATCAGAGGAAGATGTTGGTTGTATGGCGGCAGAGGCTGAACCTTGTTGCAAATAACACATATATTTTTTTAACGTGTTACAGCTAACAGCTGAATGACAATCTGGAAAAATATCGTTTGACATGAAAGTGTGTATGAAGTAGGGGTGTATCATTGACTTCTTCAATGTAGAAAAAAAGATTGCACTTATTGATATTCAACATTATTTGGTGAACACTTACAGAAAACAAACTATGGCTAGGAACACCATTAGGTATTGGGTAATGTGTTTTTAGAAGTGAAATTAAGCCACATTCTAAGTGGTCCTGTATAGCTGTCATATCATGAAATAAAAGCCAAAGTGCATAGCCAATGATGGTCACTATGTAGAAAAATGATGTTTGTAATAGAAAACTTGCTCTATCTAACAGAATTTTTGTGCTCCCTGTATCTGTTGCAGTTTATCCCAGAAGAAGCATTCTTTTAGAGTGCCCCTCATATAATACAAAAAGGAAAAGAAGGAAAAGATCTCCTGTATTATTATTCTGCTTGTTTGTGTGTATGAACATTATGCGTTTTTTATTTGGAATTAGAGTTTTTACTGAGAAGTCTAATAAGCAGGAAGGAATTAGGTGAAAAGAGTTTAAAGGAGGAAAGGTAGGCAGTAAGAAAAAGAATAATGAAAAGAAAACCATGTGAAAGGAAAAAATAAATATATTTACAATACTTATATATAGGATTTATGGGAGTAAAAGTTTGTCACTTAGCTGATTGATGTTACATTCATCATCCCGACTCCAGAGTTTCATATACAGACCTGTCCATCCACTCTTCAGTGGGTATCAGCAATATAAAAGTGGTCATTGAAGTCAACACCCGGAGGCAACAGTCTGCCTCATGCTACATGTAATCGTCAAGTCGGGTATTTAGCATGAAATAGACAGTTGCCTCTGGATGTTGACTTCAATGACCACTTTTATATTTACATACATTCTACTCCTGATATTGAGCACTTTAACCCATAAATATAGCATACCTTAAAACTATATTTTAAAATATATATATAAGAGAGAGAGAGAGAGAGAATGGATAGTAACAAAAATAGACAGGCTTGCTAGCTGGATATCAAAAGAAAATAAGCAGAAGATTGACAGGTATGTAGAGATGTAAAGGTATAAAAATTACAATATATTCAAATTCTTTATGGATAGATACAGCAAAACAAAGAAAAAAGAGCAGATTAGGTAAAAAATATTTGTTTATTCTTTACTCCTTTTTGGCATATGAAACTAATTCATGTTTGTGTAACAGAAAAAAACATGGACGCATTAGAAAGAGATAAGGGAGAGAATAAGAAGATGCAGTCAAAAAATGGGAGAAGAACAGAGGCATGAGATAGTCTTAGTTTTCAACACCCATGGAATTTGCATGGTCCAGTTAGTATGATATACAGACATGTCACCAGGGAGTAACTTGGAAGTAAGATCCCCCCCACACACATACACACCTAGTTTGGCCCCCACCTGTGAAAAATGTATAAATTGATTTTAGTGTGTAAAATCTTGCTTGCACACCACCTGATTTAAGGCCTGTCCTTCCAATCAAAACCCTCTGGCAATGGACTTGATGATATATAGCAATTGATCTAGCAAGACAAGCTTGCTAACCATTACACACAAGTGTTCCTTGATAATATATAAAAATAAAAACTGTTTGGAAGTTGGTTATATGATTTTTCTTGAAAAGTAATGCCTGATTGTCAATTGGCAAAGGCCTCTAATCTTTTTCCTTTCTGAAATATACAAATTGCTGAAAGATAACAACAAAAAAAGGTTTTGATTTGAGTGGTTCTCTTTTAACACCATTTTAACTTCATGTCCTTGGTAATGAATTATTTTGCCAATTATCTTGATTTAGGTTTGTTACTCACATGTCATAATAGAAAATTGGGAAAGTGAATAACAGTGATACCATTCAAATCTCTCTCACTAATTCATCCAGGGCTTATAAATTATTAGCCATTGAATAAATTATAATTTCAAAATATTGTTACTGTATATTACCAAAAATCCTAGCCATTATTTCAAGATACAAACAAAAACAAAAAAAATATCTAGTTTGACACAAAGACACTATCGAAGGGCACTCACTGAGGAACAAACTTGTCATACATGCATTTGTTTGTAAACCTAGCTTGCTAATCATCATTCTTTGACAGTTGCTTCAAATTACACTTGTAGATAATCAGTATTTGATTTATGAAGAATTATTGATTTTATGTAAATATTGAAATATTAAAAAATCAACTCTGTTCATCAAATATTGAAACATCTTTTTTCTTTTGGCATTACTGCCAGTTTTAATTTTAATTCATACAAATAATAATAACAGGTTTCATACTCCATAAAGTTTATTTGAGGACAATTTATTTAAGATAAAAGAAAACAAAAAGAGATATTTTCTCTTGGGATGATGACAATTGATATATTGAATTAATATCCTTAAATAATTGATTGGTCAATGTCTTTAGAGTTTGCTGGATGTGATTGACTTCAGAGACATGTGAGTTTAGGAAAAGAACTTACAATACTATGAAAATACTACACAAATGTTTCATAAATCATATATGACTAAATTTTATTTTTTCTATATGAAGAGTTACTAAGAGAATTGTATGTTTGTTTCTGAAACTTGCAGTTGGTCAGGTAAAAGCCCAAATTCCTGATGTTGGTTTCCAAGACAAGCTCACTGTTATCTTGTGTTGTTCTAGGATACATGATCAATAGTCAACTTTTGTCTGTCTCTTACTTCACTATACACTTTATTTCTCTTCTGTTTAACATATGCAAATAGGTACAATCCTATTTACCAATCTACTACACCTCCCTGAACTGAAGAGGTTTAATGCCTTTGGTTGTTCTTGAATCTCTTCTACAACCTCTTTTCCCTTTGAGATTTATGTTCTTTTCTTTTTACTGGAGATCTTCCATGTTTGAGTCACTTCCACTATCATACATCATCTTCTATTGCATTATCCTGATCTGAAGAACTCATCCTTTTTTCTTTGTCAAGATCTTCTTCCGTTACAACATTTCCTCTTCAATTCTGGGTCTTAATTGGTTAGAATGGGCCATTAGACCTTTTCCTTTCTTTGATATAATGGCAATGTTATTCCCCCCCTTTGCATGATGAAATTAGCTCTCTCAGGATTTACTATTTTGTCTTTCTTATACCACACTTGCCTTCCTTACATAGGAGAGTAGAACAACAGGATTTTATTCTCGTCATAACTTTTTAAAGTTTTATGCTAAGTTTTTCAGGACTTTTACAATTCCTCCTATGGCAGTTGCAGGAGATATATGGAGCACCTTCGGACTGGCATGAGTAATTGTTTAGGTGGAGGATGGTGTACACAATATGGAATTTAAACCAAAAGTTCACATGTAACAGTAAATACATATACTTGTAACATCTTCCTTATATGTACAGCATAAATCACTACACAAATATATACATACTGACATTTATATACATCACATTTTAAATCTTCAATCATCTTGTAATGTAATTATACTCATATAAATGCACAATTTATGTCTGAACTTTAAACAGTGACACTTAGTTCAGTAAGACTCAATGTGTTGAATGAGCCAAATGCAAACAGATATCATGCCATGGTGATGCACATATATTCCTTTTGTTCACTTAGAACCATGTGAGAGGAATTGAATTATGGGCCTTTGAAAGTCTGGAATATCATTTCAGAGCTTTGTATTGCTTGTTAGATGTGACATGTTGATGGTTCTTTAATGTTGTCAACTGTGGTCAAATGAACATTCCTATACTTGTAGATCAGGTTCTGGATGGTCATGTAATACAAATGCTTGTTAAGCCCAACACCTTATAAATGCAGTGATGGCCAACTGTATTGTACCCTTAACACAGATTGGAGCAAAAGGAATTGTTTACTTGCAGCAAAGCAGTTGGCATATACACTTTTAGCTAAACTTCCACTCATGTTAATTAGGATAATATTTACCATCTATAAGTTTATATACAAGCATACAGACCTATGTTAACACTGAATGTTTTTTGATTGATTGATTTTTTATGGCTTATCAACCTTTTACAGGTTATTTGAAGCTAGAAAATATTTTTAGATTGTAAGAATGTTTAGTAAATAATAATGATTTACTGATACATGTTCTACTAATTAACACATAGTTGGGGGAAGAAGAGGTGGATTAATATCTTTCCTGAGGGTATTTAGCGTAAGTGAATATAATGAACTTGTTTAGAATTGGAACTTGGCATGCCATTATCTGATACATCACCTGTACATTCAAGCTTACAGCACCTGATATTCTAAAGTGGTCATTCATCTAGGTACTGACCAGGCACTGAATTGCTTAACTTCGGTGATCATACAATAACTGGTGTTTCAAGGTGATATGGCTGTAAGCTGTTAACACTCAAGGAAGATATATACTGTATTAATCTGGGGTCTGAGTACTGTTCATATACCTCATTCTTTTGGAACATCTGCATGTATTAATCTGTATATATGAAGATTTACCATTATCCAACTGTAATATCTGTACATTTAATCTTGAGTAAATTGAAACAAATATTCAAGATGTTGCAATTTTATTTTCCATCAGTGTAAATATGATATAACCTTTGCAAACCAAATTAGATAAAAATAAACATACCTAGTGACCTACACAAATGTTACAAGCATAAAACTGTTAGCTTTACATTCTGGTTTGAAAATCTTTTTGTTTGTTATCTTTTTGTTGTGCAATTGACGATAAAAAATATCTTGAGTTGGTACTGAAGATAAAAATTTAAACCTGTTTTCTTATTGTCCTTTACTCTACCACTGAACCTTTCTTGTTTGCATATTAGCATTAAACAAACAGTTAACATTTTATGCTGAAGATGTACTTATAAGTAAGAGATAGAAACTTTTCTGCATGCCATCAGCATGGTTGACGCTAGACTCCTGGAGAGCAACACATTGCACCTTCTTGGCTTCATGTTTTCAACTGAGTTGAAGTGAACTGATTACATTGAATCGATAGCTGCATCTACTGCAGGGAAAGTTGGGTCACTATGTTATGCCAGAAAATTTTTCTCATCAGAATCCATCTTGCACATTTACAAATCTACCATTCACCTGTGCATTGAATATTGTAGCTATATTTGGTCAGGTGCTCCTGCTACTCATCTTGAGGTTCTTGACAAGATCCAAAGAATGATCTCCAATGTAATTGATCCTGACTTGGCATCTCGACTTCAGTCACTTTCTCCCCTATGTGATATGGCTTCCCTCTGTCTTTTCTATAAATATTTTCATGTCAACTACACTGACAAGCTTTTTTTGCTGGTGCCACAACTACATGAATTTAAGTGTGCCACTAGATTGTCATCTAGGTCTATTCCCTGTTTACTGTTGAAATAGCTAAAGGTAACTGCCACTTCTACTCCAACAGTTTCTTTCACTTCCTGCCTGTTGAACATCCTTGCTTCCCTGATAACTACAATCTTCAAAAATTTAAATGTAACATCAATCACTATCTTTTATCTTCTTTGAATCCCATTCATCTTTTATTCTTTCCTCAATCCTCCCAATACCCAGTTTTTTCTGTCACTTTTACTTTTTCAAACTCCCTGTGTCCTAGTGACATTCCTGCCTTGCTTGGGAGGAAATGATTAAAAAAAAATTATGGTATTGTATTGGTTTATCAAACCAAATCAAATAAAATATTTTGTTGATACTATTAAGATAAATTGAATGAATATGAGATGCTTTTAAAAGTTTGACAAATTTAAACTGAATGATTCTGTGAAAAACTGAAGAAATTGCTATAAAACCCAGTTATGAATCAAAGCATTGCTTTCTCTTTCCAACACAGTCTTATATACCTGTAGCCATAACCACAGATTGGCCATGATTTCTTGAGAAGTAAGCATCACCATTCCCATGGAAACTAGCACAACAACTGCCATGCAAATTTAGCATTAATTCCATTTCCATTGAGAAACCTCCTGTCCAAACTATTCTAGAGAACATAACTCTTACCCATACCAGATACACCCACCTTAAGATCTTTTTTCATGTTGGCTTGGTTCTCTTCTACAATACCAAAGGGGACCATTTTGAAGGAGACTAGAAAGTAGGTGTTTAGATAAGTAATTAAAATTTCTTTCATAGTCAAATTCTTGGGTCCTTTCTGTAGCACCTCATATATATTTCCATTTTATTTCTAATTTGTTTGGCTAATATTTTCTATATTTTGTGAACAAATCCAATAAAATAAAATAAGTAAACAAAAGCAAGAAATAAACTAGTAAGGCGTGTTGATTGAACACTTCTGGTTCTTCTTCTTCTATGTGCCATGTCCGTTCAGGATGTAGACGATCATGGTTCTCCACAACTTCTTATCCTTTGACGCTTTTAGTAAAATTTGTCTTTTCAACATTACTCCCAGGCATTGTTCTGCGATTCATTTGCACAAACTTGTCAGGTAGGTTACTCTTTGCTTTCCTATCTCCCTCTTACTTTCAACATGTTTTGTGAGTGTCAAATTCTCCAGGTCCTTTTTCCTTGTTATGTGTCTTAGAAATTTCAATGTTTTTTTCTGATTCTAAGTATAAGCATCCTTTTTGTTTTCATTTTCCTTAAAATTTTCTTGTTAATCACATGTTCAGTCCATAGTATTCTCAGCATCCTTCTCTAGCGCCACTTCTGGTTAATCTTGTTAATTGGTATAACTGCTAAATAAAATTGTCACTGATAATTCAAGTGTTACAGAATAAGAAAAAAGGATTTCCTCAAACTGCAATAATAAAAACCAAAATTGTTTCCATGATAAGAAACTTATTATAAAACCTGTTTAATTCTCACAGTGATATAAGGAATTGGTAGACAGTGTTTTCTAAACACAAAGTCAGATGCCCCCACTCACTTATCAAAGAATAACTTGATTGTCATATGTATTTGTTGGTCCAACATTTTGTACTGGAATATCTCAGTTTTATATTGGATAAAAATTGGATGCTTCATACAATAACCTTTTCTAAAATGTTTATTATAAATATCCTTGTGTTTATAAATATTGCACACACATATATATATTATACAGACACACACATAAAATATATATATATATATATATATAATAAAAATACAGTTGTAAGGTATGCTATATTTATGGGTAAAAGTAGTGTTTTGTGACCCTCACTATCTTATCAACATTTACTTTTTTCTACCTACATTTATATGTTACAAATTAAACTAAGCACAACTGACTATTAAAGGGTGAAAAATTTTCACAGATTTTATGTAATTTTTGGTTTTTTATTGTTTTTGTCTAAATCCATGAATTTGTTTTACTCATGCTAACTCTTGAAAAAAAATAACACTATAAAATTCACTATTTTTTATCCGTAATGTTAAATGTGTTAAAATTATTCACCTGTTTAACAAGAAAAATCTCAAGTTGATGTTATAAAGTGCTGCAAAATATTGTTGATTTATATAAGATGGAATGATCTATTATGACATGTCTCTAATTTGTAGTTAGAAAACTGAAATTTAGTGGTTCTTTTATCATCTGTTCAGTGGGGTCCCATATCATAGATTTTCTGTGAGACCCTTGAACCAGCCTTATATACACGGACCTTTCCATTTGCTTGAAATAACTGGAACCATGACTTATTGGGCCAGTCCTCCAGTGTGCAATTGGCGACATCAGAAGCCCAGGTAAGGTGCTATGTTTGGTCTTGTGTTCTTATATCCTTTTGAAATCTAAAGAAAGCTGAACCAATCTATTGACCCTACATCTACTACCTCTTGCACTGAATATATATATATATATATATATATATATATATTTGATTCATTTTTGCTTGTGTCTCTAGAGTCAATGTATTTTGTGGGAATATGGTAAGCATTATTTATCCTGTAAATCACTAGGTAAGTAGATATAAATAAATTAATGTCCTGATTAATTGTAGGAATGATCAGGGAAGGGAAAAATTGTAAGTGAAGTTTCTTAAAACATCTCAAAACTTTTTTTTTAATTACTCTGAGAAAATCATACAGATATTACCTACCTGTACCTGTTCTGGTATTCACCTGGTCAGGTGAGCCAGATCCATCAAATGAACCTTCCACATCTAAATGAATGCTGACCAAGCATAGCAGAGGTATTATTCATTCAGATGTGCAAATTCATAGTAAGATTCTCAGTGGAAACTTTGATTAACAAGAGGTCCCCACCTGCATGTATACATACTTTTAGGATAGTATGATCAAGTTTGAATTGAGTGTTTCTATCACATAGAGTGGTTGCTACCCAAGACTATAGGACTCAGTCTGTCTTGCTATTTTACCCATAGCTGGAGGGGAGAAGAAATGGATTTATACCTTTACCAAGGGTATTAGCACATAAATGAATGCAATGAACTTGACCGGAAGTTGAACACAGCTCGCCAATTCCTCAATCTGAGCCACTAACCATTACTCCACTGTGCCTTGATATACAGATATTACAAAGGAATGAAAATAATTCAATTCAAAATAATGTAATTGTAGCCAAACATTTTTACATTCAAGAATAATAATTTTCATAATAATAGAAAATAATTTTAGGAAAATTTGAAACTTGTCAGCTGATTCCCTCAGTGTTAGTTTTTGCACTTATAGTAATTGTCATCAAACATGCATGAGTATTCATAAACATTGTAGATATATTTATATATAAAAAGTCATTGCTTTGTTCAGCTGTGTTTAATACAATGTGTATATATATATATAAATATACATAAATATATACAGATGTTTGTACAGCCTCAACTATATTAGAGAAGGCATGCATCCATTTTATTGTATTCTGTCTCATCGACAGACAGCTAGAGAAAATAACTTGCCACTGGTACCAAACTTCTGCTGGATTATTATTTTTTTTTTTACTCTGGTCACCTTCACTCCAAGATGGCTTCTCTCTGATGGCATATATATATATATATATATATATATATATATATATATATATATATATATATATATATATATATATATATATACACACACACACATGGGGTTAGCTTAATGATTGGCCAATAATAATCTTATAACTATTCCCATGTAAATAACTTAGAAGTGCCACCTGTGTAGATCTACCTTTTATAAATTGCCATTTTGCCAAGGGGAATTAACTTAACAATTGGTTTACTGTGATTGACAATGAAGAGAGTGGGTAAGTAAGCATTTAGGCAGATGATTCTCCTATAACTACCTTAAGCCTGCAAGGAGTCGATAAGCCATAGAAGACAAATCAATCAATCAATAAAATATAACTACCTTATCTGCTCAAACAGCAACAAAAAAAGCTGTTACCCATATAGTTAACTTAACAAGAACCAATGGGTTAAATTTACATAGACATATATAG